ATCCTCTGTTTCTGTTGAGAGAGAAATGGTCAGGCTGCAGAGCAGTCTTTTCTTTCTTCTAGTCTAAGTCACCGCTGTGATCTGAGTTGCCATTACAACTATCAATTTTAAGATTGTTTGGACTGCTGCTGTTCTGGGATTATTACAATTATCCGCAGAAAACATCGTCATATCCGCAGACTACATGCTGTGCAAACTCCGTTGTCCCTTCCCACTCCCCTGTCTTTTTAAATCAAGCACATTTATTTGGCTGAACAGAAGATAGAGAATGGTGAGGGAGGATGTGTTTGGGTGATTTAAAACCATCAAATAAAATCATCCAGTTTCCTACTGCAACATCTATTTCTGTCGTTTTTATTAAAATATAAATCAATAAAAAACAGTATCAAAATAATGCAATGCACAGAAAAGCACAGTCACTGTACTATAATATCGAGTTGTACAAAAATATATTTAATAAATTAATGTTTATTTTTATTTGACTTTAGCATAATGCTGTAGTCATAATATATATTAGGGTGGTCCTTAGTGCCATGTACATTTTCAAATTCCTTTTATTTGAAGCTCCGACCACCGGAATTTGTTATGATAGTCAAGAAAACTCTCGTGGTGAATTTTATTCAAATTCCAACAACATTTACCCCTCCCTCATCGACCTGGGCTGCCGCACCAGCAGCTACGGTGCTGCAACTGAGGCTAANNNTGTGTGTTGGAGGAGGGGCTCTGTAAGGAAGTGGCAGATTTTTTCCGGCTATGTATTTTCAAATTCTAGCGCACTCGAGCTGGTTTCTCCAAAATTACCTACCCCACCTTTAAGAGAAGGCTGATGTCATTTGTGTACTTAATTATAACTAAGAACCTTCACTGTACTTACAGTAAACAGAGTTCTAGGGTATCATGAGTACTTTTTGCTGTTTCATACTATATTTTAGTTGGTTTGCCTGAACACCTTGTTTCTCTTGTGCATTAAGAACACTTGTGTTAGGGCATGATTTAACAATAAATAGGTTATACAGTATAAAATACTACGTACTGTCCGCCATCACATGCCACCCTGGCATGATCTCTTGCCCCCCCCTTTGCCGCCCCATGAAACATTTTCTAGAACCGCCACTGGGTTACACAAGACAAAAAATCGTTATGACATCATAAAGTGGACACAATCTGATCAGCTCATTTTCAGCCAGGGTTTTATATGAATGGATCAGGACAAAAAGTGAGCGAATATTTTTTCCTGAAACTTTCAGAATCTCTTTACACAGAGGGGACACATGTTTATGTACAAAATACATGGAAAAGTGGATTTTTCACAATAGGTCCCCTTTAAGTAAAGGATCTGAGTACTTCTCCATGCACTGTATTATAGTATATTCCTTCCATGGTTGCAAAAGGAAAACATCAGAAAATAATACCTGGAGTGTTCTTTACTGGAAAAGTTCTGATCGATAACGAAGAGCTTCACATGACTTTTAGACCCAGGGCTGAAGGACTGTAGAGAGAGGTGCGGCACAATTAATCAGGCGGCTCTTATCACATCTCATCAGCCTGTTAAGTCGCTGGTCCATAAAACTGTCTCCAGTGTGATATGCCATCATCACATCACACCCTAATATTCTTGAACAACACCTTACAGTTGAACGAGCATGCTTTGCAATGCATAACGAGAATGCAGTGGTGAATTAGGCACCAGGGGACACCTCTTATCGCTTATTAAACCTCAACTACACTATCACAACTCCAGCCTGCCAGCCCAAGCAGAGAAGAAGCTTCCCCTTAACACCAAAGTGTTGCACAAATTGTTTTGAAAGTTCCTCATTCACTCACTGACTTCAACTTCATGACATATGGCAAGTTAAATTGTGTTTGTTCATATTCAATGTGTGCTATTTCTGATATGTGCATTGCTGTGTTTGCACAATATGCAAGGGAATTACTAGATATGGGGAATAATGTTGAATTTGGGTAATTAGGAAGTGTGTGTATGTGAGTGTGTCTGCCTTCCTGTCTTGACTGTAAGTCTACAAGTGCACACAGAATGCAAAATGACTCCCTCAGCGGCCTATGACTCCCTGTGGGCCCTACAGACTTCCCAAGCTGAACAGATCAAGGCTGCCTCCCTCTAAGGGTTCACACTGGTTAACAAGCAGCAGAATGAACGCCAGCCAGTTAAATTGTATGTAACTTTTTAGTTTGGACTAATAGTGTGACCTTTATTGATTTCTTGTCTCTGCCTTCAGCTTGGCGAAACACTAATGGCATTGGTCAATAAAAAACCATGAGGTGGAAGTTCTCAATGCCCTCCCCCTGTGTTGACCACATCCCTAAAAATAGCCGCTCAACCTCTGTCAGTGTCCATGGAGCCAATGCCATGACAGCTCAGTGTTCTTATTCAATAAGATCTGTACTGCATCCCTATTTTAATTCAGATATAAGAGGGCTAACACGCTGAGCCATCCGCCGAACACATTTACTTTGACCCATTCAGATGGCGGGCCACATCAGTGAGTTCCCTGCCTCTTTAAATCAATACATTTATAGCACAACAAGCAAAGCATAAAATAACACTGCGACTTGGGTGCGAAAATCGAAAGAAAACATCAGTTTTAGCAACTGTGTGTCGAGCAGCACTCTGGGACCTACTGCTTCAAAGAAGTACATTCGAGAACAAGTTTACAATAAAATAAAACAAATGCCCTGTGTCTGTATAGCTACCACCCACTGTTTTATTGATTGATAATGTCAATGTGTACCCCTGCCTGTCTTTTCCTCTATACTCTTGGCACTTATTGAGCTTTGCAGAAAGAAATATTAAGAGCATGAGTTCAATAGAGCTGAAATTATCCCCCCTTCCCTTGCAGTGAAAACAACCATTTTCTGTGATCTTTCTCCAAACTTCTCGACACTGAACTTTGTGGACAGTCTGTTTCTACTGCATACAGAGGCCCTTTGGATGTGAGCCTCTCTATACAGGTATAGTGCTTAATGCAACAGAGGGAGCTAAAGGTAATTCTCTCGCACTCTAATGCAGCCACTCGTAAGTTAAATTCTGTGAGGGGACCCCTGTGGTGCCGCTTCACCACAGAAGAGAAGCAGCAGCAGCAGCCAGCAGCTAATATTGATTCACCTCACAGCCTTGAGCCTGCTGTCACAGACAGTAAATATCAATGTATTTAATCCACTGTTAACTAGACTTTAATTAGAAATCTTTCCAGTGGATGTGTTTTAGTTAAAGTGTGTTCTTTGGCTAAGTTGTAAGTCAAACTATCCTGCTTTTTGTGTAACCGTTTGTCAGTGTTGTTCCCTTTACTTTTTAATGATGGATTTGTATCTGAGTGCTATTGACAGAGTCTGCAAAGAGAGGGCAAATGATGCAAATAAACCCTCTCATGGGGGATTAGTCTGTTTGCTATTTGAAAAGGACTTACAGTAAGTCTGCTAATTGTTGTTAATATTTGTTAGTCCCCTGACTCAATCTAATGACAGATAGCAATAACACTCTCTTAGAAATATTGCATTGGTTACTTAGCAGTCCAACATGTATGACCACATATACAGAAGGATCATTCAATTTATACTGTGTTTGTTCCGTAAAACCTCATGAAAGGACAGAGTTTATCATTAATGCCTGGCTCTCTAAAACTTTGGAAAACATGCCCATATGTAAGACTTAGGATTGGCAAAAGAATTAACAAACAAAACAAAAAAGAAAATGGTTGAATTCTATAAAAAGGAGCAAAATGACGAAACATTCTCCTTTTCTGTATACATTTTAGTGATTTCCAAAAACATGAATGAGTATCCAACCTCAATCTTAGTTGCTAAATAATGGCTTTTAAGCTTCTTAAAATACCCATAGTTGAGCAGTTGCCTCATTTATGTGTCACTTATCATTATTTTATGCAATTATAGTTGAACTTGGACATTTAGTTTTCTATCGTTAAGACTTCCTGATAGATTATGACTTCAAAACCTGCAAAGTATGGGTACTTTTAACTTTGATATACACTTTCCCCATCACATTTTGGATATAAATATTGCACTGTTTAAAGGTGGGATAGGTAACTTTGAAGAAACCAGCTCGAGTACGCAAGAATTTGAAAATACACAGCCGGAAAAAATCTGCCACTTCCTTACAGAGCCCCTCCTCCAACACGCACTAACCTGCACATGACCAATGAGGGCACGACATAAGTGTGTGCACAGATGGAAGGCTGACGGGCAGGTAAGCCATCCAGTTATTTTAGCGGGCCCGGCTAAAATGATTGGTCGTGCTTTTTACAGTACTACGGCTTCCACAGATGAAATTTTTTAATGGATTTTTTGTCAAAGCACTTAAGATATTCATTGCTATCGGGATGTTAAGAGCATTCCATGGAATATAACAAAAAGTGTATCTCGAGCCGGTTTCTCAAACTTACCTACCCCACGTATCTTACAAGGTATAACCAGCACAGTAACTTTTAAGTTTTTAACTTTACATTTAACTTTGACAACAATTGTTTACTTCAAGTAAATATTTTAAATAAGGGCTTTTACTTTTACTAGACCTTTTCATGGAAGATATTTGACAACTAACATGTGTAGTCAACATACTGAATGATGGCTGTCATGGCATACATGGGTAACTAACAGGAGCCATTGTAAATTGTATTAAGTAACGTCTGTGCTTTTCCTGCAAGTAAAAATGTCTGCCAAATGAATATTTTCACTTTTTTTTCTACCTTTACTAAAGAAAATGATTTGCAGTATAGCTTCTTGTCCCACTGTTCTAAAAGGAAAGTGTTTTACAAACATGCTCAGTCATGTCTAGAAAATCGGTCAACATAACTTGCCTCTCCTCAGCTGCAGTAGCTGACAGGTGACGCTGGGTGTCACTGCAGAGCGTCTCATATCGCTCCTGTGTGCTCATTCCGCCACCGCCCCCTCCGCCTGCCTTTACAGTGTGTGCGTGTGTGTTTTGTGTCGGATAGAAAGTCAGCCTGGTTTCCAGCTGAGTGCTTGCTCTCTCACAGTGTGTATGTGTGTGTGTTGTCATTATTATCCACTCTGCTCCCAGCTCAGAATGGCCAGATTCACTCAGACTGAAACAAGAAGGCAGCACCATCCACAGCAGCCCCAGCCCGCTCACTCCAGCCTGGTTTTCACCGGACCGGGGGTACCACCGATCCAGCAACCACTGCTCCTTATCCCACATCAGCACCAGTACCCTCAGATCACATTTCCGAAACCCATGAACGGGACAGAACCCATTTCCATTCATCCGGAGAACGGCAACATGAAAGACCAAGATGCCATTAAGCTGTTTATCGGGCAGATACCGCGGAACTTGGAGGAAAAAGACCTGAAACCCCTGTTTGAACAGTTTGGGAAAATCCACGAACTGACAGTCCTCAAGGACCGATACACCGGCATGCACAAAGGTAACGTGTCGCCCCCTTTAAATGGCTGCGAGGCCCATATAACACTGTATAACTGCTTATTATTTCTTTCACCTCTTGAACTCATTTGTGTTGAAACGGTAACGAGAACAACGTGCGTATTTGTCACTTTTTGTTCATTTGATCCAGATATGATATCAGTCTACTATTCTTAACAATTCATCATGTGCACCATTGCTTTCGTGTTTTCATCTAACATTCACGAGGTGTGTTATTTTGTCCCAGATATGATTCCTTTATAAAGTTAGCTTAATCTAATATTTTAGATTATTTTTATTTTTACATTTAAAAAAAATCCACATTTTTGATTACACAGAAAAGAAATGGGAGATTTACAAATATAATCAGGGCTTGCAGTGTCAAAAATGATAGGGCGACTAACTCTGTTGGCCATGTTCTGAATTTCATTGCTATTTTCCTAACACGCTGTTAAGTGGGGCAGAGGCGCTTGGAAAGGATGCATTTTTAAAGAGCCTTGCCTTGCCAGCCCCGTCTTTTCGCGGAGGGGCGGCATCATTTATTCATCCCATGCTTTCTTTAACATCTCTCCCCATTGAGAATGGGGCTGGGACCTGGTGCTTACCCGACCCAGCGAAATCAGTTCAAAACCACAATGTCTCCAAAGGGCGCAAGAACTGTCACAAGATGACGGACGCAGGGTGTGCAGAGATGCTGCTTCTGCTGGCTTGAGGGCTGAGGGAGGCGGAGGCGGAGGCTGTAAATCCGCTCAGCTCAAACACTGACAACTTCCACATTCCATAATGAAGTTGCTAAGGGTGTGTGGCGTAGATCTCAGCCTGGGTGGGGTTAAAAACATTTCACAATCCCTTA